ATTTATTTATCTCGTTGGTAAGATATATCCTTACACGTTTGCAAAAGTCGTCATATTTTTCCTCCAGTCACGTATGAAACAACCATCATGTAACATGATGCGCGCTGGAGAACATAAATGATTACTTTTGCAAATATGTTAATATATCTTGTTAGTAAGATAAATAAATAATAAAAATAATAATTGAGTATACATTCATGATAATTTTTACAATTTTCTCGTTTAATATATATAAGTATAAATGATAGTTTTTCAATATAAAGTAATTTAATTTTAGATAAACTATTTTTGTAGTTTCATAGGTGACCCTCCCTATTATTTTATGATTGTAACTAAATTCTATACTAGATTAATCTTACAACTAAAAGGATACGGAGAAAAAATCTTCAGACACCAAAGTTGCTGACGTGGCAGCATTGTGGTATATTGAAAATTATGTGGATGATATATAGACAACATTTGAGGATTATTTTTGTCACAATTTTTTAGCTATGGGATTAATCTAATACAAAGTTTAATTATGGTCCTAAAATGATTCTTAAATGATTTCTATGTGTCATTCATACAATATCTGGCATGTCATAACCCTGCCACGTCAACCACTCCCGCGTCTGAAAAACTATTTTCGTAAAATATTTTTAATTTTGGAACTAATCTAATATAGGAATTTGTTATGGTGCTAGAATCATAAATGGGTCACATACGGACTAAAATATCAATTTTCTCTATAATTTATATATATTAAATTTAGTTATTTAAATTATTTGTGCTAGATTATTATGAATCTTGTATCAATAAAATTATATTTTATATATTTGAAAAAAAAAGTTAAGAAAAAAAAAATAATATATAAATTTTACTATTATTAATGTACTTTACAATTTTTATACGTTATATTATATCAATTTTTATGATTAAATATTTTTATCTTTTTACTTTAATACATATATAATCAATGAGTATATAAATACTAAATTATATGCTATTTAATTTAAATTATTATTTATAAATATATTTACAGATTTTATAACAAATGTTTGAATATATAGAATATATTTCATAAATAAAAGAAAAATAATTAGAATAGAGTATAATATAATATCAACTAATATAATAGTATTATATATTAAAAAAACAAATTCGTATTCAACTAGAATAAGCATAATTTTCGTAAACGGATGGACTATATGATCTACAAAATTTTCAAATAATGTGATACATTTGATTTAGTTTGTTCAGGTGTGTGTCTTTTGGGGATTTGGATTTTGTATTTATAATTTGAAGAGTATAAATTTTGAATTGAAATAGTTATACGATGTTATATAAATAATTATTGATTTGACATATTGAATGTAATTTTTTTTAGTATAACATAATAATAAATAAGAAATGGGTGTTTCACTTAATATTTTTTTTTAAAAAAAAATAATATTGATAAATAGTAAAATACTATGTAAAAACCCACCCCCATCATGTAATCATAAACTAATACTAAAATACCCTTAATTTTTACTTAAATTACAAACAGACCATTATACATACAATTACTTTATACATACGATCAAATAGCAAAAATATCAAAAACTTTTAGGGTGTGTTTGTTTGTAGATTTGAGGTTTTGGGTTTAGATTTCTTAATAGTAAAAAGTTAAATTTTAATAGTTGTTTAATGTGATATAAATAGATGATGATGTGATGTTCTGAATGTAAAATGAATTTATAGTACTCCCTCCGTCCCATGTATTATGGGCCTATTACTGTAGATACGGGAATTTAGGTAAAGTGTGATTAGTAAGTAATTAAGAAGTGTATTAGTAAAAATAATTATCGTATAATAAAAATAATTGTGGATTAAGATTAAGATAACTAAATAGTTTAATTAAGATTAAAAAAATTATAAAATTTAAAATGAGATTAAAGTGTATAATTATATTTCCAAAAAAGGAATGAACAAATTATGTGGGACGGACGAAACTAGAAAATAGGGACAAATTATGTGGGACGGAGGGAGTATAATATAAAAAAAGAAAAGTAATTACTTAATGTGATCTTACAACCTTACACACTTCTACTCATCAATAAAATGCTATTCTTATTATTTTTTTATGGCCTAGTGGTGTAGGGGTTGGACTTGTGACCGTGAGGTCATGAGTTCAAACCCCGACGCCTCAGGTCACCTGCTACACATGGTTCGCCTAGTGTGACTTTCCCGTCAGGCCTGGTTTAAAGTGTATTAGGTTCGGCCAGGGGTTTACCCATTGTGCACTTTCCCACGTCATAAAAAAAATATATATATTATTATTTTTAATATAATTCCAAATTCAAAATGACTCATTGAATTGGGACGGAGAAAGTAATACTTTGTATTGTATTATTAACTTTTTATGAGTGAATAAAATATATATTATATTGTTAATATAAATATATTGTATTTTTTATAATATTTATAGGAGATCGTGTCAAAAAAATACTCCCTCCGTCCGGCTAGAAAATATACATATTTCTATTTTAGGACGTCCAATTACAAAGTAAATAATTTATTAAATACCTTATTTTTTTTCACAAATACCCCTACTTTACATCACATCATTACTTTTAAACTAAAAAGCAACGGCAAAAAGATCATTATACTATTTTTAACTACCCATTATAATTAAAATACTATTAATTCTTAAACACCGCGCCAAAAGTAATTGTATACTTTATGTGTGGACGGATGGATGGAGTATATATATATATATTGAGTGAACAATAGTGTTCAAATACCTCAAAATTTTCTTTTTAGATTAGTAAAACTTGAGTATTTAATCTCATGTTTTATAATATATATATATATAGGAAAAAAATCAATTTTGGTCCCAATATAATAAAAATTAATCAATTTTGGTCTCAATATAAAAAATTCATCAATTTTGGTTCTAATATAACCAAAATTTATCAATTTTGGTCCCAATATAAAAAACTCATCAATTTTGGTCCCAATATAAACAATTTCAATCAATTATGGTCCCATTATAAACAATTTTTATCAATTTTGGTCTCACCGTTAAAAAACTAACGGAAATTGCTGACGTGGACATGACGAAGGTAACGTGGCAGTTGACCTGGAAAGTACACGGCCATGTACAATTATACACGGCCATGTTGTTACATAGTCATGTATATTTCAGTGTAGAATTATACATGACCATGTTGTTATACGGCCATGTACATACACGGCCATGTTGTTACAGGGCCATGTATATTTCAGTGTATAATTATACATGGCTATGTTGTTATACGGCCATGTACAATTATACACGGCCATGTTGTTACATGACTATGTATATTTCAGTGTATAATTATACATGACCATGTTGTTACACGGCCATGTATAATTCTACACGGCCGTGCATCTTTCTGTTTCGGTCTAAAATTTTAATTTTTTGTTATATTTTTAATTTTTTTTAATTTAGAATAGTTGATATAGTTAAAATGGAAAATAATAATACTCATAATCATAATATAATTAAAATATATCAATTTTAGTTCAAATATAAGTATTTATCGAGTATGTTCTTTTGGAAGATTTTGTCTAAAATTCTACTATTTAAACTAAAATTGATATATTTTAATTATATTATGATTATTATTATTATTATTATTTTCCATTTTAACTATATGAACTATTATAAATTAAAAAAAAATTAAAAATATAACAAAAAATTAAAATTTTAGACCGAAACAGAAAGATACACGGCCGTGTAAAATTATACATGGTCGTGTAACAACATAGTCATATATAATTATACACTGAAATATACATGGTCATGTAACAACATGGTCGTGTATAATTGTACATGGCCGTGTAACAACATGACCATGTATAATTATACACTGAAATATATATAGCCCTGTAACAACATGGCCGTGTATAATTGTACATGGCCGTATAACAACATGGTCATGTATAATTCTACACTGAAATATACATGACCATGTAACAACATGGCCGTGTATAATTGTACATGGCCGTGTACTTTCCAGGTCAACTGCCACGTCACCTCCGTCATATCCACGTCAGCAATTTCCGTTAGTTTTTTAACGATGCAACCAAAATTGATAAAAATTGTTTATAATAGGACCAAAATTGATTGAAATTGTTTATATTGAGACTAAAATTGATGAATTTTTTATATTGGGACCAAAATTGATTAATTTTGATTATATTGGGACCAAAATTGATTTTTTCCCATATATACATATATATATATATATATATATCAATTATTAGTACCAAAAGTTCATAGATGTCTATATCAATGTAAACTTTGGTGCATGTGTTATATACATTTGCATGAATTTGAAGGATAAAAAGTCTACATGCATAATTTTATAACACATGCACCTTCACTAGACTGCTGTAAACTTTTGGTACTATTTATTAATATATTTGTTTACTTAGATTTATTTTTTGCATTGGTTTTTAGGTGATATACTTTTGATCTTGTGGTAGTTATTATATTTTTTTTATTATTAGTTGGTGAATATTTTCTAGCTAATATAGTTAAGATATTTGTGAGAATTTCTTCTTGTATCAATGGAAACTGATTGTGGTTCAGATCTTGTATGTAGTGATTAAGTCATCCCATATCCTACTATATACTAAAAAAATTTACATCTATAAGAAATGCATGTATATAAAATTTATAAATCATATTGATAATTCTGTATATAATAAATTTTGTTAATGCTAACAAAATATACATTTGTTGTGTTTTTATTTTCCGTTGTTACTGTTTCTCTACAGTAAATTTATTAATTCGGCGGTTATGTTTTGTTATTTTTGAAATAATAACAAAAAGAAAAATTAATTATAATAAATATTTAATGTATTATAAATAATTATCCTATTTAATATTTTGAATATAATATAGTTAATGAAAAATAAGTTAATGACATGATGCCTTAGAATAAAAACAATTAATAAATACAAAATAAATAAATAAATAACATCAACAACAACAAAACAAAACCATATCAATAACAAAGGCAACAACAATAAAATCAAAGTATGTATTTTGAATGATATAAAACACCAGCTGTTGGAAAAAATTATTCAAAATTGTAATTTAGAATAGAAAAATACCAAAAATGTTGAAAAAAATGTGAAAGTTCAATAAATAGTAGAAAATAATAATAATAAATAATAATAATAATAATAAATATGACTGATTACCTAAGTTATATCTTCTTCATTGACATTTTCGGCCGTACCCACCAACAAAGTAGACGTCTCCAATCTTCTGCCGCTGATCCCTTTATCATCCAACGGCTTGCGTTGCATCTCACCCATTGACTTTGACTTGATAAGCTGCACCGTCGATGTCCCTGCACCCAATCCCTCACTCCAAATCAACGGCTTAGATCTAATCTCCTTGGCCGACCTTATCGAATTTAATTTCGGTTGAAATGCAACCGCCACGTAAGTATCAGGATCTGCACTCGTCGTAGCGGATAATTTCCCAATCTTACGGCTTGCCGATTTCGTAATCCGTACCGTTCCGTTACTGTCATCCAACGGCTGGTATTTGATCACGTGAGGACCATCGTCCACCACGTGCCGTCCGAGAGTAATGCAACTGTGAGGATGCCTCCTCCTTGTTCTTCTGTACACTTCCTTCAGACACTCCACCGCCTCCGCCATCGCCGGCCGCTTCGCCGCCGTCGACCTGACGCAGCGTTTAGCCAAAATTAGCATTCTCTGGAGAGCGTCGGTGTCTTCTGGAGGAGTAATTCGAGGATCGCAGATGGCGAAGAAGTTGCCGGATTTTATCTCCGGCACCGCCCATTCGACCAGTGACGGCGGACTGTAGTTCATGTCCAGAGCATGGCGACCGCTTACAATCTCCAGAAGTAATATTCCGAAGCTGAAAACGTCGGATTTGGTGCTGAGATCCCCCGGCGCAACGTAGCCAGGGTCGAGGTATCCGATCGTCCCCGCCGGCGGCGTGGATTTCGCTTTAATTTCCTCGGCGTCGCCTCTGAGAGACAGTCCGAAATCGCTGAGTCGCGAATTGAATCTCGAATCGATTAAAACGTTCGACGATTTGATGTCGCGGTGGATGATCGGCGGATTTGATGAGTGCAGAAACTGCACCGCCTTCGCCACCTGCATCGCGAACCGCGTCCTCTTCGTCCAGCCTGGCGGCTTAACCGAGCGGTGGAGCAAGTCGTGCAGAGTTCCGTTCGGCATGTACTCGACGACGAGCAGTTTCCGGTGATCGGAATCATCTGCGTAACCGATCAAATTCACGAGGCGAGGATGATAAACCTCCGAGAGAATCTCCATCTCATTATCGCTGCTCGGATGCGCTTCCTTCGTCATTTTAACCGCGGCGACGGTTTGAATCCGATGGAACTTCGCTCTGTACACATATCCATAACTGCCTCTGCCGAGCAAATTCGCGGCGGAGAATCCATCGGTAGCGGATTGAAGATCAGAGAATTCAAATCTCCTAACCTTAAACGGCCTCCTACACTGATCCTCTCTCGATTTCGCACTCAACAACTCCCAATCCCAATAATAACCGTCACAGGTAGCCACAGCACATCCAGAATTACAGAGCAAATACCTCATATTCCTGACCGCTACAGAAATCCAGAGCAACCGAAATAGAAAGCAAAATCAAAATCAAAATAGAAATGGAATCCGCAGTATTCACAGCTCCTCCTCACGCTCATTGTGCAATCAAAAAGGCATTAATTCAGCACGTTGAATGACTTTAACAGCTTTTGATTACCTTGAAATTAGAGCGGTGGGTGAGGAAGGGAGGGACAAAGTGCAGATGCTCTCCACTGTCGCAGTGCTCTTCTCTTTGTTCCGCCAAAGTTCTCTCTCTCTCTCTCTCTCTCTCTCTCTATAAGTTGGTAACATTTTTAATTCTCTTCACATATTTTCTTCGCCATATAAAGACGTGCAGTTGTGCTTTAATACATGGATGGGGCATCCACATTCTCTCTTTTTTATTTTTTATTTTATTAAAATATAAAAATAGCAAATAATAATAATAATCATAATAATAATAACATACATTTATATTAATAATTAATTTTCTCTGAATTAATCTTTTTTCTTTTTTTTCTTTTTTATCACGACTTTATTATATTTAAAAATTTATCTAACGGATTTGATTGTTTTTTATTTTAAATAAAAAAATTCTATTTAGTGGGTTATTCAATTAAAAAAGTTTAATTCAAATTAAAATCAAACAAATCTCACCTTTCTTCATTTGTTATTAAAAATATATTCAATTATTGAGTTAGTTTATTCAATATTTTTTAATAAAACAATTTCTTATAAATATATTTAAAAAATATAAATATACACACTCATTAATATAATATTATCACCCTAAAGTCTCATTTATTTTCTGCGTGTTGATCTTTAAATATTAATTATTATATGAAAATTAAAAATGACAAAAATATTTCTATTAATATTTTATAATACTATTATAATGGCATTTGTGCAAAAAAATTATACGAATACAAATATATTCTTAATGTTAAGTACAATAACGGAAAAGGTAAATGAGACCTTAGAGCCGGACGACTGGAGTATATATTATTCACTCATAAAAAATTAACAATTCAATACAAAATATTATTTTTATATTACCAACAAATCAATTTATCTAAACACGTTGAATAAACGGACTTATCGTTTTGACTGTAAAAATAAAAAGAAATTGCAACCTATCTAATTGTTTTTATTATCTTGTATTGATTAATATTTATATGATAATTATAACAATAATCGATTCTAAAAAAACATTATTGTGTTTGGTTGTGAGTTTATTTTTAGAATTTTTATTCTTTCAAATATTATTTTTTTAAAAAAAAAAATCAAATCAAATACTAATAATATCATTATATTATATTAAAATTTTATATTCAAAATATTATATAAACTCATATTTATATTAAATTAAACAACTTTTCGATTACAATTTATATTTTCTAAAATTTCAAACTCCAAAATCACTTGAACACACCCATTCTAGCCTTAAAAACAAATCAATTTTATTTAGTATACACAAATTTTAATAAAAATATATTATATTTTCTCACAATACATCACAGATGTATCGATAAAACCAAAACTTAAATTAAAAAAATTAATAATAAAAAACAAATCTTAAATTTTTACTGGCAATTATTTTTATTTTTTTATCATTCAATTATGGGCTATAAAAATACATTTCTTTTTTTACAAAAATATCATATCAACTACTTTATTCTTTTTTACCATTCAATTATGGCCTATAAAAATATAATTACAAAAAAGCACCTGATTATTTGTCGGGTTTAATTTGCGGGATATTAAGTTCGGTCGGAAATTTATCTAAGCGGCTGCTAGTTAAAAAAAAAAAAAGAAAGAAAGAAAGGTAGTAGATACAATGCATTATAATGTATATCCAAGTAGAATTTCATTACATCATTGTAATATTTGCTTTCTTCTTTACATATATATTTAAATCATTTTGAATATATCAAAATAAAAATTATGGGACCTTTATAAATTTTCACAGGTAATATATTTCTATGCACAGATAGTTATGGGTAGTGACTTTAATTATAATCAATAAAAATATCAAGTAACAATATCTAATGTTAACATGGTATGTTATTTATTAACTTTTCATATAAGTATTAAATTAAATAAATATCTATGAAAATAGTTTGATATTTGTTTCATGGAACATTGAAGTATGGTAAGTTTGACTATTAATGGTTTTTTTCAAATAAAAAAAAAATCTTTTTTTTTTTTTTTTTTTTAGTTTATATGCATGTATTTTTTTAAAGTGAAATAATGATTTAGGGAAAATGATATATTTGTTTGTTCATTTGACATATATATTGTTAGATGTGTTTTTAGATGAAATATCTCTTAAACATAATAGTTTGCATGAAGATGAATGTTGATATCATATTTTCAAAAGAAATTTTCACATTGAATAGTAAAAAATATAATTTGAAGAAACTTTATTCATTCATCTTCATTTTTAACTTTAACTATTATTTTAAAATTTTAAATTTTAGGCTTTGTTCACTTTTTATTTTATTACTATTCAATCATTTTTTCAAATATTAGTCAAGTATTTCTTTCTTTCATATAAAAGATTATCTTTAAAAGTTATTTTAGATTTTTTTTTTTAAATAATAGCAAGTATGCACACATAAGGTAAATTTTTTACCTCCAAAATTTTAAAATAAAAAAAAAAATTAAATTATTATTTAGTCTATACATATTTTAATAAAAATATATTATTTTTTTTATAAAATATTATATAGAAAATACTAATTAAATTAAATTTATTAAATAAAATCAAACTCAAACTCAAACTTGAACTAAACCAATTTATCTTTTGAACCCAAAGTTAATGTCATAAGTTTGAAATTTAGTCTAAACCATCACGAAAAGATAAAAATATATGATCCCCAAGATAACTCTTCTGGATTTTTGGTCGATTGAAAATGTTTGGGAACTCTTAAATCAAGTTTAGTGTTCGAGTGTTGTCTAAATCTCGAATACTTAGATCAAGCTCCTTGTTCAAACATGCAAACTTTTACGACTAACTAAATGACAGAAAAAATTAGAGAAAAATTAGGGTGTGTTCCTTTAGAGATTTGGATTTTAAATAATAAAATTTTATATTGAAAGAGTTATTTAATGTGATATTAATATACAATGATGTTTTAAATATAAAATAATTTTTAATATAATATAAAAGTATCTGTCTCATCTTATTAGCATATTGTTTCAATAAATATTCGATTTATGTTTTTGTCGAGAAATTTTTAGAAGAACTATAGAAATCTTCCAAATTTCTGAATAAACACACCCGTAAAACTTCTATCAATCATTGGGCCACATATGACCTACTATGTCATTAATTGGATTTCGGACCAAAATATTTAAGTCAATTTCATCAATAAGGCTCCGCTAGATATATTTTAAGTTGGGACTGTGATAAAAATTATAAAATAAATCGGCAATATTGCATGTAATTCACTTGTAGTTTAAAAAGTTGACATTATACTTTCAATAATTTAAAAATTGCAATAATTTAAAAATTAAACCAGGATCATATATTTAGAAAATGTTGGACATAATCTTTTAAAAAATAAATTTTGTGCAATATTTTTACAAACAAAGAAAGTTTAATGCAATTTTTAAATTATATGGAGAAATATTGTAAATTTTTCAAACCACATATGAAATATATGTAATTTTGCCAAATAAATAATACCCTCTTGTTGGTATTGGAAAACTTGATGAGTTTATTCTATGGTACAATATTTTATACAATAAATTTATAAGTTAACATAATATATTAATATGATATTTCTTATGTACTATTTCAAATAGATCGTTTTTTTTTTTTTTTTCGGTGGATTAAAAAATAATACTCTTTCTGTTCTATTCATCATGTCTATTTTTTTTTTTTTCGTTCGTTCTATTTATTTTTGAATTTTTTAAAAAAGAAATTATACATTTTGATCTTATTTTTCGTGTCTACGGTAAAATGAACACGATAGTCGGGATGGAATGAATTGTATTTTATTAATTAGTAAAAGTTTCAAAAGATGATTTGACATTTTTGCCCTTACAAAATACAAATAAAGTAATACTAATATTTTCGTAATTTACGTAAAAGTAGAAGTATTTTAGTATTTATATATAAAATATTTTTACTATATTAAGACAAAAAAATTTTTAGTGGAACAAACGAAAATAAAAAAAAAAAAGTACTTTTGAGTTGGTACGAACGGAGTATTATTTTATTATTTTTTATAAGTAAGTGGTATTGTTTATAGTCTTAAAATATTATTTAAAATATATACTCCCTCCGCCCGTCAAATTTATTTTCATTTTTTTTAATTCGTCCGTTAAATTAATTTATCTCATACTAATTTTGGTAATGTCAACAAATCAATATTTGATTACACTACTTTTATTACTCTATATCTTTATTTACTTTAATTTCTAACTAAATTTTTAAAAATACCACCAATTATCTTTTTACTTTGATTATGTTTTCAATAAAATATTCATATTTCTCTCCGGCTAATTTTTAACAACAGATGGAGTAATACATAATAAATTTATCTTTTAATTAAATTTAGCCTAATAAAACATTTAGGCAAAATTACTTATAACTTGTGATACGAGAAGTCTGCACTATTAGAATAGTGCGCGAAATCATTTCTTTAGAGATTTAGGTGTGTTTGGCAATTAGCTGATAGTTGTTAGCTGATTCAATTAGCTGATAGCTGTTAGTTGATTCAATTAGTTGGTTTGACTAGCTGATTCGATTAGCTGTTTGTATTAAAATATTTGGTAAAACAACTGTTTGATATTAGTTGTTTATACGTAAAATGACAATCGAGGACATTTCTATTTTATTCTTATTTCTAATATATTCAATTATGTTCTTTTGAGTTTAGAATGTTTAAAATTTTTTGTTATCAGTTATTGAAAGTTGTAAAAGTGTTATAAAAGTATTTATTTTTATTACCGTTAGATTTAAAAAATAATATATTAATATATAAATAGTTTTTTTTTATTGAAAATGATGTAAAATATAAAATAATAAATTTTTCGTGTATATATTTATTATATTAGTTATCGATTAGTTCATTATATTTCTAATTTTCAATAAATTTAATTTATTTAATTTATTTTTAGTATAAAATTTATATAATGTAATTTTTTTAATAAAAAAATAAATTATTAATATTTATATTTTTTTTATTTTATGTTGATTTTAAATAATTTATATATTTTACAATTGAAATAATTTTTTATATAAAAATTAATTATTTTAAATTTATAAAAGTAAAACTATAATATAATAAAATATTTAATATAATTAATAAATAATCAAA